CCTTCTTATTATTCTCTGTATTAGACCTAACTGATCTCCGGCTTGGTAATTTGATTGCTACTGATAACTAGAAGCCCAAGTGCCCTTAAACAAATTTCAAATCACTGGACATTCATTTTATTAACCAACAGCTAACTGATCATTGGCTATATTTCCCTCGAAGTAACAAGGAATCGATCGCAAAGAAACCAATCATTTTAAGGTAGCCCCTGAGAACGATATTGGATATGGAAGTAGAATAACCCACTCGTATATTGGCTTAGAAACTACCTTGAGAACAGGAAGTTTCTGAGTATCCACATCGGGAGTTTCACAGGGGACCATCTTAGGTACACTTCTCTTCCTGATATTTATTAACGACCTGTTAGGCTCAGTTAGCTCACCGGCATTGATTTATATAGACGACGCGAAGAGCTGGAGGTCCAATAGAAGCGAAAAGAACTCGGCTGAGCTTCAAAAAGACCTTCCATCCATTGCAGAAACGGCAGTGATAAACGGTTTAAAACTAAACCAAGTGAAGTGTCATGTCATGTTTATTCTGCCACATATGACGCAAACGATTTACGCCCTCAAAGGAAGTCCCTCCCTGAGGTCTCCTCAAAGCGCGATCTCGGTCTAACAACAACAGAAAGCCTCCACACGAGTCCGAACTGCATAGGGGATACAGCGAACGCAAATGCGATGCTTCACTTTATGCGAAGACAACGTGGTTCTATCACCCCAGAATTATTCTTTACACTATTTAGGACGTATGCGCGCCCATACCTAGAGGTTCACAACGTCATCGCACCCACTCTGCTTAAAAGAGACATAAATCCCCTGGACCGAGTGCAGAGATGAGTAACAAAATAGGTGATAGGGTTGAAAAATAAAACATTACGATTATAGACTCAAGCACTTGGGATTATTCACACTGAGTTACAGGACGATCAGAGGTGACCTGATTATGGCATACAACATGTTAAGCACGTTAAACCATCCCAACATGAGCATCTTATCGATGCATCACCACCACTCCTCTCAAGGGAATCCTTGAAAAATTGCGCATCAGAGAGAGAATATTCAGGCTTGTGGCGATTCATACGTACAATCGTTGGACGTAGTCTGATTAACTGAAGTTATCACTGCTCCATGGTGTGAAAAATTCCCCGGGCAGACGCAGTGTAGTGCCGTATATCAGCGGCCAAAAAGTGAATATCTGCCTTTAGGCTCGTTCTCATGCCTAAGAGGGCGAGCGGTAAGGTTTCATACCAATTGTTGTTTGCGTATGCTCGAAGAGCACTTTTAAGTTAGCTATGAAACCGTTCAACCAAACCATTCGAAGCCGGCTGGTAGGCGGTAGTGCGTATGCTCTCCGTACCAAGCAGCTGCGTCAGCGGGGAGAATAATTCGGACTCGAACTGCTGTCCTATGTCAGTTGTGACTGTCGAGGGATAACCGTAATGCGCTATCCATCTTTCTGCGAAGCGGTGAGCAACTGTTTCTGCCGTAATAGAAGTGATGGGAATAGCTTCGGTCCATCTTATAAAACGATCAATGCATGTATGTGATCATACTCATGCGATGGTGGCAGCGGTCCTACAATGTCAACATGAACATGATCGAAGCGAGCATCAAGTGTAGGGAATGCGCCAATGGGGGTGGCTACGTGCCTGTGCACTTTTGATCGTTGACATTGTAAGCATTGCTTTACCCACATAAGGACATCGTTATTCATAAACGGCCAGACGTATTGTGCGGCGATGAGACGTGATGTGGCTGCGATACCTGGATAAGACAATCAATGGAGGGGATCGAAGACTAGACGACGATGAGCAGAAGGTACGATGTGTCGGGGTAAACGAACAGACTTGTCACACGGGATAGTACCTGAGGTGGTAGCTAGTGGTACTTCCTGGCACTGAAGGGGTGTCGATTGTTACGCTTCTGTACAAGAAGGATCATTTACTTGGGCAGCAGCCATAGCAGGAGGATCGAGCACTGATAAATTAACTGCATTTACCGGAATACGTGAGAGAGAGTCAACAACATAGTCCGACTCGCCTTTAATATGACGAAAGTCTGTCGTGGACTGAGAGATGTAGTCCAAATGTCTGGACTCTCATGTTGAGTAGCCGTTAGACCTTGTATGAAAAGCATACGTTAGAGGCTTATGATCGGTGAAAAGGATAAATCTACGACCTTCTACTGAGTGCCGGGAATGTTAGATGGCACAGTAGCAGCCCGAAACCGATAGCGCTATCTCGCCTCTGTGGGTGTAAGGTGTCGTGAGAAAAATTCGAGAGGTTGCCAACTCCCAGAGATGTTCTGTTGCATTACGGCTCCTATTGCGAAATCTGAAGCGTCAGCCACATAGCTAAGCGTGGCTGATGAGTCAGGATGGGCGAGAAGCGTGGCTTAAGCCAAAGCTGTTTTAATCTCAGAAAATGCAGCACGCGCGGCACCGTTCAGTCCTAGTGTGCGTGGGTTACCGCGAAATAAGTCGGGTAGTGGTCGTAACTGCTCTGCCGCGTGAGGAATGAAACGTCGGCAGAAGTTGACCAAACTGAGAAACGCTTTCCGTTCCTTGAGTGAGGACGGTACAGTGTAATCCATGATTGTACGTACTTTATCTTCACAAGGTAGAATACGCTCATGTCTAATGATTTGACAGAAGAACCTTATTTCTGCCTCGCCAGGTTAACACTCGTCTGGGTTAACTACTATTCCATTATCCAAAAGGCTTTGGAATAAGAGCGTAAGATGTTGATAATGTTCATCTACATGTGATGATGCGATTAGCAGGTCATCAGTACTGACGTGAAAAAATCGAAGTCTCGTGCTATGCTGACGATAAACCTTTGGAAAGTTTGAGCAGCATTCTGTAATCCGAATGACATTCGTGGGAACTCTAATTCAGACCTAAAGGAGTCGTGATAACAGTTTTTCAATATCTTCAAGAGCGACTGGGATCTGATGATATGCTCGTACCAGACCAATCTTGGAATAGATAGTCGTGCCCTTAAGAGATGCAGTGATGTCGTGTATGTGGGGGATAGAATAGCTATCAAAACGTGTTACTATATTTAATGCTCGGTAGCCGCCACATGGTCTCCAACTTATCCTATCCTTTTGCTAATCACGTGGAGTGGTGAGGACGAAGGACTGTGAGAAGGACGAATAATACCTGTAGCTAGTAAACTGTTAAACTCACGTTTAGCGAAAGCTAATTTGTCCGGTGAGGTCTAGTCGCGACTGTTTGTCCGCGGATGACGATGTGGTGTACCACATGATGAGTCACCGATAGATTCTCCTCGAGTGGTTTAGTTAACTGGAGAAAATTTTTCGAGTAAAGCGTGGAAAATTTCATCACGCGAATGAAATACCCCTGTGATTGACATCGAGATCCACGGTGGTATGTGACGTGGACTCAACTGTGTAGTTTTCTCGGTTGCCAGTTCGTGCTATAACTCTGTCTGTCACGAGTGCAACCTGACTAAGCGGCATGTCCTCGGGCAGAGCGGCGACCAAAGGCTGAAGATGGGCTGGAAGTGACTCTAGCCACAATTCTCTAACAATATCAGAGTCGGATGCCGTTGGTCCTACTAGTGATTGCGGGCGCGTGAGGTTTAGAATCACCTAGGGGGTGACGTGCTAAAAGTGTCCTCAGTCATTCCTCTCTGGATGGGAGAAAATGTCGAAGAATCGCTTGTTTGAGACGATCGTATACGTCTGGTAGACCAGAGTTGAGGACTGCTTCACGGACGGCGGCTATGTGATCACTCTGGAGAGATTCCAGGGGGTAGGCATACATCCGCCGCTTTACGAACCAGCGGCGGATCTCAAATTGAGCTTCCAGTGCCACGAACCAGACCTCTGCATCATGGAGGCTAAAGGCTGCAGGTCGAAAACTTAGAACCTGTATCTGTGAGTCAGCTAAAATATCGTCATTTTTGGGTCTATCTACTATTTTCATAATGCTGTTGTAGTTATCATATATATATATATATATATATATATATATATATATATAAATGAAAATATCAATATATATTAAACAACAGTTAAAATAGTAAGAAAAATGGCAGACTCAGCGAATTCACTGCGTATTCGAATTTGTAGCTCACCAGTATAACAATTCGTACGATATTCTTCGCAGGATAATACATGTTGTTCCACGGACTCTGACATTCGAATAAGAAATAGATTCTAGGGGAAGAAGTATATATGATAAGGGGCTGGTGGACACTTTTTCTCATTAGAATTTGCTTTTACTTGAAATGCACTCACAGCCGAAGTGACCACAGCCCCCTCAGTGGACTGCTTTAAGAAGAGAATTGATAATCACGTACTCACATACGGACTATCATCTCCCTCTTGGACAAGCTGTTCATGATGCATATCTTGAGACCTGCTAGTTGTTATCACTGCCATCTCCTCACACCACTTACTTAACCTATCTCGCCTATTATCATTGTTTTCTCTCCCTTGCTTACACTACGGTCCTCCCTCACAACCTTCATTACCAATTAATAAACTAAATTCATCTATATATTACTCAGTCCTGAAATTTTATTCATATCAGCATTAGAATTTTACCCTTATTACTCTCCACATCGCAAATAAATGATTTCGGGTTTGGTAATGTGACGGCTGCTAGTATCCAGAAACCCTACTGCCCTGAAACAAACGTTTTCATTCAAATCCTGAGACATACAAACTCACAACCAACTGCCAAATGACTAGAATTAGACAGTCGAGTGGCTAGACCTCCATCCATTAGATATTACCGAACACCTGGAAGCGTACAGAAAGAACAAGAATCGAACGCGAAGAAATCAAATTGGTTTACACTAGCTCGTGAAAAGGATATTGGATATTGGAACATAGAAGCGCCAATTTTATTATCCGGTTATTTATTCCTGCGAGCCCTGTTGACGTCGTTCGTCATCCAGACTGAAATAAAGTTCAATAAGACAGATTCACTCTATCAAGTTTAATTATTATTGTGATCCCATAAAATGTCGGACACTATCATAAAGGTTTGTTACATACTAAACTTTCAAGTATACAGATCATGTCTGATTTACGCAAAGGAATCACTGAAGGCGTCTTAAGCACCATAGACGCGCGTAAATCTGCCATCCAGAGTGTTCTTGCGCTATTAACTGAACATGAAGAAGACATTATCCAAGCTTTGGAGAAGGATCTCCACAGGGTAAAGGTTTTTAATATATTTTCATCATATAGTGCCGAACTGAAGCTTTTCTTGCGGATATAGATCCTTCAATTGGGGAAGCAAAGACTATGCTTTCTAATATTGATTCGTGGTGCAAAGAAGAGTCGGTAATGTATTCAGTCTAGTAAAAGTAATTGTTTATGCAGGTCCCAACGTCATTCATCACGTTAATGGATACAGTTACGATTCAAAAACAGCCATATGGTGTGGTTTTAATTATAAGTCCCTGGAACTTCCCTTTCATTCTGGCGTTTCAGCCGCTAGTTGGCGCAATAGCTGCTGGAAATAGTGTTCTTCTTAAACCGTCCGAAATGAGTCCAGCATGTTCGCAGCTGATTGCTCAGCTTATCCCTCAGTATTTAGATAAAGTAAGTGAATGCTCAAATCAAAGGGGACTTGCAGCAGCTTGGACTAGGGGTTTCTTGTACTGGATATTAATTGATTTAACCTAACATTCCGTAAAGACTTTTTAATTCCTAAAGAATATGCAGGATGCAATAAATGACATCAAATGGCTAGAAATTTGTGCTAGATTCTGCATTGTCTATGAGTGACAAATAACTGGACGATAATTCCATAAATATCAGCCGCATGAGTTTTGAGTACCTACTGTTCAGGTGAAATGCTTGTTGGAACTGTAGCATAACCGGTGTTGAAGTTGTTCTAATCCGTGTTCAGTAACGTCAGAAATTTCGTAGTTTTGTAGGGTTTTATCTGGGTAGTTAAAGCTTGCCACTTTTCAGCATCAGTTCTATGATAAAAATTTAGTTTTGAGACATTAGCTTGTCATCCTTCAAATAGAGTACTTTTAGTGGTGAAGTTAGGCGAAAACGATAAAGCTTATAACCTTATCTAAGATTTCTAGTTTTTAATAAATATCAGGATTTCTTGTCCTTATATGTCGTAGTTTTCTCTTGATACATGTCAATGCATTATCCAAGAATTATTACTAGTATTACACAACTGACGCCTTTAGGTGGTAATGTTTTTAGCAGCTCTTATTGGTTCTAGAATAAAGCTATCGTCACTGTATCCACGATCGAAACATATCCCACGTATATCAGTTAGTCGTATGTTTTATAAAGATTTCAGTAACAGTCGCTATCTTGGGAGTAACTATCAACAAATCAGAAATCTGTAGATTTTTGCACGTTAAAATTCCTTTCCAAAATAAGAATATTAAAGTACAACTCAATTCCCTCTAAACAGTTCGCTTGTTTCCATTCTTAAAGTGTCACTTTAAAAAATGAGGTGTAAGTCCTTTAAATAAAATGAATTTGGTCGTTTTTATTTAATTTTCTTCATGAAATCAATAAACTGAATGTTCTATCCTTTAACTCATCCATCGAAACGTACTGGCACGTTTCGGGAGACACAGAAACCCCTCAGTCTATAAAATGGTAGCTAGCCGTTCATTCACTCTGAATTTTTCTCCAGTTGAGTCTACTTCTAAGCTACACACTAATCTCAAAGTGATAGTCGAATGTTTTGATACTTAGTATGAAGCATTCACAAAAAAGGAACACTGTTTTAAGATAATTACGACTTATTTTTCGGCAAAACTCATTGTGTTACAAGTGTCCATATTTGATTATAACCTTTTTTTCAAAGCGTATATGTCAAGTCATTTGTGGAGATGGAAGTTTGTCCAAGATGATTCTGGAGACTCAGCGTTTTGACTTGATATTTTACACGGGTGGTACAACCATCGGTCGTGAAGTTTATATTGCCGCTGCGAAGCAACTCACTCCTGTAGTTTTGGAACTTGGGGGAAAATGGTAAGATATAGGTTTTCCATTTGGTTTATGTTTACGTATTTTCACAACAAAGTTCGCCTTTTCAATTAAATTACTTTGTTATAAAATACACTATTAGAATGTATACGAAGTGTTACTGAAATCTGTATTCTGGGCTCTATTTTAAACCACACTTTCTGTAACAGCTAATTATTTCCTTTTTTGTTTTCAATCCATTATGAAACCAGGGGTCAGGAATGACAGCTAGTTATACTGCCCAGCTACCAAAACCAAAGGAGTTAAAGTTATAACTCCGGTTAGAATTTGTGCTTTAACGAGTAAACTGTCAATTTACTACTGTAAACCTCATATATCTCTAAAAGTGAGTTGATTCATCATATGCGAATGCTAAAACCCAAGAGTTTGTCTTAGCCTAATAAGAAAGAAAATCTAATTAGCAACATCGAGAAATGAAATAGCTATTACTTGGCAATCTCATTTGCTGCTAAAAATTCTTAAGCATAGCGTTTCTCAGATAAAAGTAATCTACCGTCGTGAGCATACTAATCTCGTTGAAAAATTGATTACAGCACTTCTAAAAAATACCTCCGTACCTCTGCAGTTTGGTTGTGGTGTCACCAGCAGTTAAACTGCTTAAAAATTCCAAATGCTCACTAAACAGCCAATTTATAACAAAGGATGAGTTCTTATAAGTGATTATTTTAGGTCAGGTCATCATATTGATTTACTTCATTCTACTACGTAGAGTGGATTAGAATAATCTCTTTGACACTTGTGGTGTTTACTGTCATCGATTGCACTGGCAACGTCACACGAATAATACCCAAATGTCAAAATGTATAACATGAAGGAATTACTCAAACTAAAAGGGTCAGGAATGGATTTTGTAGATGATTTTACTCATACATGCCTTTTAGATGAAATGTAACTATGATCATGTATTGCTTTGACGAGTTTGCGTCAATTTATTGTTTAAATCACTAGTAATATTTAAGACTAATACTAGTGATGGTTTTATTTTCTGGAAGCAGTATATTAATGGAGTGCTGTTCAATACGACTAACAGGTATCTTAGGACAGAATCCATAAAACACTTGTTGAGTTCAATTATACCTCGTATATAGGCGAAAATACTTATCCTCTCGGATCTAATGCAGGAATAGGAAGCTCAGTAGGTATGTGTAAATTCCTTTAAAGTTTGACTCAGGATTGTCAAGTTTATAAATGTTAAGTCGTTTTTCCAAATATTTGAAGTAAATTGTTATTGACATCTAATTAGAAACTAGTATATTGTGGGAAACCGTAAGTGACAACGACCGTCATCTTAACGGCATTTGAGTCTCTTGTTTATCGACTTATTGTTTTTTTTATACACACAATTAGGAAAAGATGAATATTAGTATGATGAAATCCGATAAACTTCAGCATCTAGGGCAGTATTATTATCTGAAGTATACAGTGTGATCTTAATTTGCTGAATAATGAGAAATCCAAAAAATTAGTTCTGTCCAATTGTTTATAGTATCTAGTGATAATTTTTGGTAAAAACCGGTTCGGGCTGATTGCAACTTCATCATTTGAGGTGGCTGGGACATGTGTTGTGTATGTCTAACCACCGACTGGCTCGTCGAGCTATGTTTTGAGATGTAGGAGTAGGTGGGAAGAAGCCTAGGGGCGGCCAAACCAAAACATGGCAGCAATCCATGAAGTCACTGACAAGTGGGTTGAGTCATGTTGATAGGTGTCGACTATCTGTTTGGGGTCCCCAAGATGATAGTAATCTATGGTTATCGACGTTGGATGACATGGCTCAGAACCGTTTGCAATGGCGCAGTATTCTCTCAAATCCTAACCTTCTGAATCCCTCATCACCTTTATCTTCTTTTTAGGTTTATTTCACTAGATTCTACTTCTTGAATTATATCCTCGAACCCTAATCTTTCCGATTACTGCTAATACATCGACTAGGTCTACTACTATGGGATTTGAATTGACAATTGAGTATCTGTGCTAATATGGTATGGCAACCTGAACTGATGTACGTACGTACGAAGTTGTACGTTGTAGCTGAGTGACTTATCTTTAGTATCAAATTATTAAGGGGCTTACGTCAATAATTCATTCTAGTTAGCAGCCATCGTCCAATCACTTCGTATCATTTCAAATTGCCTAGCGATCAGCATTCTTTACTTTCATTTTAATAATCGAAGATTCATTCATGAAATCAGTATTTCAGGGTTGGCGTATTGAAGCGCTTTCGTTGAGTTTAAGGTATCGTGATCTGTAAACTCTACATTCTATTTGGTGATTTAGATGGAGAAGTGCCTGAAGTAATACGTAACGGTTAGTGTATTGCTGTCTAACTCGACTAATCATTCTAGGCAGTTGTCTTTTTACCACATTATCTGTGTGAACCAAGTGGTATCGTTTAATGTTGACGATGGTAGGATCCATAGTGAATTACTTCAGTTTTTTTTCGAGCTTAATTTTAGAGTTTTCTGTCATCTAAATCTTTATATTTATTACCAATTTGGTGTCATGATTTTTCTACTGTTATCCCAAAAATTTCTCTTCTCTACTATTAGTCCGGTGTATATTGACTCAAATGTCAGTCTGGATGCTGCTGTCAAGCGTATTATCTACAGCAAACTTTTGAATTGTGGACAGATATGTGTTGCTGCTGATTATTTATTATGTCACGAAAAAATACTAGTCAGTTGGTTGTTGTATTAAAATTTAATGGTTATCTAATTTGGCATTGCTATATTAAAACACGTTGTTCTATCAAAATTGTTGCTAGTTAAACGGAATGTTCAGAAAAATGATATTTGGTGGTTATGAGAACTTTCCGATTTATAAACAGGATTTTTATCCCCATCCTAATCTAAAATGATTCTGTGAAACCCAGTTTCTAACTAAATTTAGTTTTCTCAAAATGTTTGCTGCTATTTCGAATGAGATAGACAAGAATGTTGATTTTGTAAAATATAAATGGTGTAAATCGGACTGAATATTAAGATTCTCCGCTTGTTGAAATAATGGATAAAAGCTTATGTTTAGAGATAGTTAAATAACTAAAGATGAAGTAAAATACCATTATGAAATCGTAGTTGGAACGATACATGTTCACAATTGCCTAGGCTAAACATTCTAATAAATGAATATGGTTTCAGTTACTTGGTAGGCTAAGATTCCGATCTTTTTGTAGAGAGTATTTCGTTTATATTTCTCATTCGACATTCTAGGTTTATAAATCTGCAACGTTGCTTATTGGTGACATTTGTATTTCAAAAGTCCCTTGTCCCTTAGTTTGTATGAACTTTAATTATGATTTCGTATGTCGGTAAACTTTACAATCTCCATTATCACTGTTAGATACTCTTGGGATGAACGCGCTGTATGTCTGATTGCTCCTGGTTATGTTTACTACAAGATTAAATGCATCTGTTCGTGCTAGCCTATTTAGTTGGCAAAAACTTCAGTATTAAGTCATCATATATCTTTGTCACTGGTACACAAGTAACAAGTAAATTTTTAGCTTCGTTTCATTAATAATACTGACTGTTTATTAGGTATTTTGCTTTAAACAAATATAATGAGTGATTTTTTTACAATGATTATCTCCTTGTTGAGTTCTGCGCAGATCCAAGACATCGTGTGTTGTTAAATGTACTTTAGTACGTCTACTTATTTGGTAAATCATATCACGATAGTGATTCATTTTTCACACTTGATGAATGGTTAGCTCGTTTTCAGGATTTTCAGTGCTCTAAATCCATTATAAACTGAATAATGAATGTTTCTGTTTTGTATCAAATTATTCGAGCTCAATTTATTTGATTATTCGGATATTTGTTTGAGAAAAATTATGAATTGGTTTCAACTGTTAGTCAAGTACTTGGTTTTAAATTTTAAATTTTTCCTTTAGCCTGCTCTGAAAGAGAAAATTGAAGAAACTATTAAGCAGTTTTTGGGCGATAATCCTCAAGAAAGTCCTGATTATGCACGCATCATCAATGTCAAACATTTTCAGTAAGTATAAGTAATATCTGTACTACAATTAATAGTTGGTTCTTACTAAGTTTCTCAGATTCATTTATTCTTTCTTTAATACTTTACAATAACCATTTTGTAAAAGCATTAACCTAGTCACTTACTGACACCTTATATTTAATAGTAATGACTTGTGCACGACGTACTCAATTCGAAAATGTTTGAGTATTGGTTGATTTGAACGCTACTCAAATATTACCAATGTGTCCATTATTACTTGACATATTGGTGTCAACACACCTATATCAGAAGAATAGAGGAGGGGAGATCTTGTTTCCATGTTTGAACACATTTCACAAAAATCGAAACCACAAAGTCAATGTATTTTAAACAGTATCATTCTTCACCATCTACTCGATAGCAGATACAATGTTGATATTTGAAAAGGCTTCTGAATACTACCGTTTCTAACTCCTTTCTTTGTGCGAAGGCAGCATCGCTGCAGATACTGGTTGTCCAAGCTGAATACCTTACATCACAATAGCAGGTTTGATCGGGAGTTCGATTCTTAGATACTAACTATATCTTAAACTTTACTAGCTTGTAAAACAGCCGTTTTAATTTTATTCTTCAGGCGTCTTACAAATCTACTGAAGCAAACCAATGGTAAAGTTGTTATTGGTGGTGTGTCAGATGTGGATAACAAATACATTGCACCAACTGTTGTATTTGATGTTGACGAAGAGGATATATTAATGCAAGATGAGGTTAGACTGATTTTTCACCATTTCCTGCTAGCATATTTTGTTCTATCATGTTTTTTCTAATTTAGTTAAGAATTCTAATGCATTCAACATTTATAACCCTGAAATAACAACTTCAGCGTTTTTAGAAGTAAAAAATAGGTTATGTAAACTGTAAATGCATTATTATCAATACCATTGCATCGTATATATCCGTCAGTTCCCTATAATAGTTTATCATACATATTTTAGTAACAGCCATAATTCTGACACAGTTTACATAAAAATCAATTAACAAAATAATCCCATAATGGTTGAATAAAACTTTTCATCATGTGGATAAAGTACAGCAAACAAAGTTTGAAGAGTAAGCGTTCAATCATATTCAACAATGAAATATTTCTAGTCATAATAACATTTTGTAAACAATTATTGTTGTTTGACTGGATATCTGTTTGTTATAGCACTAACTGTTCAGTCACTACCTGAAGCTATGTCTTCTGTGTTGTGAAACGAATCATTGAGTAGCGTCGGAGTATTTTTTTAACAAATGTTTTTCACTATCTCAATTTAACCCTAAAACGTTTTAGTGAAATCTTCGCTCCTCATGAGCTGTCGAAAAGCAGGTGTAAGCCCAATCGGTGCTTCTTACTGGTCAAATAACATGGTCTGTTTATAAATATCTCGTTAAAAGCCATTTCAATTCATGAAGTCACTCTTAGACTTACAGAAAGTAGTCGTCACCGTTGGTGACAGTCATTAGGGTTCTTCAAAAATATTCTTTCTTATGGTTTTGTCACACAAGTACTGACTTTTCGTAGGTGGATACTGTACACATGATACTTAAATGATAATGTCAATTACTTCCATTAATTTCTGTTAAACGTTTTGTTGAAATCTAAATATTTTCTTAATTTATCTTGCGCATGCTAAATATTATTCCCAACCGGGCCTACGTCGTCACTCAATATAATGGTAATGGATTACGTGGATGAGTTTTATCAGCTTCAACAAAGTTGTTTCCTCCTTTCTCATTTTAATTCATCCACCTTTGTTTACCTAACGTTGCTATGCTGTCGAAAAAAGCCTAATATGTCTTTCTAGTAGTGACGTTAATAAAATTTTAACGTGGATACAGAAAGCCTGTTAATCCTATACAATTTACTATACCGATAAGATATTAAAATGCTCGTCCATACTGAATTTTGAAACATGGAAATACATCATTTCTTCTTATATGACTCAAAAGATTTTAAATACGTATTGTTATGCTGATTTTGAAAAGTTTAATCTAAATGAAGTAAATTGGTCAACGAATTTGTGATAAATATTGAACTGAACATGTTGTTTATCTTTAATATAATCTTACAAATCCTGTTCTAAGTCCAAAAGATTTTAGATAAAATTATTGTACAGAAGGTGTTGACTTAAGCTTTTTTACTAAGTGCCATCACTTTATTCAATTAAAAAACCTTAGCTTTAATCAACCAGCATTTTCAGTTTACCTTATTCTGATGTCAAACATTCCATCAAAAACTGAAAATATATGTTGGTTAGTATTATTTTATGTTATTTTATCATGAATTCAGCTAAAACTTGATTCTTAGGCTTCCAATCAAAAATGCTTTTCTTTGTCTATCAGATCTTCGGACCAATTCTTCCTGTTTTGTCTGTAAAATCGCATTCTGAAGCGATTCGGATAATAAATTCCAAGTAATTATAATGCGTTATTGTGTATTAATGTATTATTTTTGGCTAATAAATAGTGTGTAACCTTATTTCTCTTGACATCATTATATATTTGCGTAATTTTGATACGGATACCTGACTTCATAACTCGATATGTGTGGTTTGATTGCTTATGGAAACATACAAAGCCTGTCTCTAAGATCGCTGATTGAGAACTATTCAATTATAAAACCGAGTATGTCCTAGGGAGACCACCGAAAATAACAGTCCTTCAAGGTCATTTTCTCAGTTATGTCTTACCGATTTTCTTACTAATTAAAATGAATCAATTTCGTTATGATATTAATCGGACCGAAATTTGTTTGTAAGTTTGTGAGCTATATTTATCCGTAAGCCAAAACTTTTAAATCAATGCCGGTTCAAAAAGGTTGCATATTCTGCATACCACACAAAATGCCAAGCCTACAATTTCTATCTGAAAATTTCAGCAAATATAAGTTAACGACAGTAATTCTGTCGTGTAAATTCTAAGTTATATACTTAGTCATTCTGTTCGCTTAGCTGGATATGGTTTATAATTGTGAAGTTTTTGTTATCTTTCTAGACAACCTCGTCAGCATGTACTTCATCTAATCATTATTATGCATTGCCATTGATATGAACTTCATGTTTAATTGTTTTACCTTATTTTAGAGAAAAACCTTTAGCCGTTTACGTGTTTACCCGAAACAAATCAGTATTTGATGATTTCAAAATGTCCACATCTAGTGGTGCGATTATGATGAATGATTGTAGTGTACATACTCTCAGTAAGTAGTTAGTAACTAGTTTGTTATCAAAAATTAAATTTTTATGATTTCATAACTTTTTAATGTAGTTGAACTATAATCTCAGATTAGGAAGAAAAACATTACTTCCTCAGTATTTAGTAATAAAGTCCATTTGTAACATGTAGCTAAGTAGAGTATAACAACACTTAGTACTTTGCATTATTTTTTTGTAAATTTGCAAATGTAAGTTAACATGATATTTTAAGAGCGTTTTTCGTGGTACTAATTAATCTCAACTTGGTAAGCAAGTCACGCGAGTTCAAGTCGTTCTCAGAGTATCAATCCACTGAAGAGTGTAGATACGACTAATACCTAAAATTGTCATTTACTTCATTTGACTATGTAGTTTTAAAGAATTATCATAAGCCTATATTTTGACAAAACACATTCTAAGGATTACAAACACATCAGTAAATATTTGTTTGATTAATTTCCTATTTTAGTACCAGATATCCCATTTGGTGGTATTGGTTACTCTGGAATAGGAAGTTACCATGGTCGTTATTCGATTGAAACCTTCTCCCATCGTCGCCCAGTTATCCTCAAGTCAGAAGTGGAACGCATAAATAACAAGTAATCTATATTTGTATTGGTTGTTTGAAATGAAATTAGATTATTTTCCAGTTACTTGGGCACTCCTCATACTTTCTTGTGCGGATTAATAATACTACCCAGTTGCCTAAAATGGAATAGGTGAAGCGAATTTCGAACCCGAGACTTTGGCTGAAAGTCGAACGTCTTAACCGCTTCACTCTAAGGATAACTGAATGCAAATATGTTATCTGACTACTGGATATCGATAAGAAATCTATTGTGTTAAATAAATAAATGTCATTGTGACTGTTTGTGAACAATTTAAACGTACATCAAGTAAAAGTATGGATTCTTAAATAACACTATCATGTTTCACCTACTTTAAACATCTATATTGATATAATTTCAGTATTTATTATCAACAACAAGAAATACAACACTTACAAATTATGTGTACAATTATTTTCAGAATCCGTTATTATCCGTATACTGAAAGTGGTCTGAGTTGGTTGCGTTGGAGTGTAAAGAAATCAGATAGAATTGGCTGCCAAATATTATGAAGAATTCATCCACATTACTTTTTAAACCAACTTCTATTTATGAACTTTTTTACTCATCTCTAATTTTATTTTATTTTTTCAAAAACTAAAACTGAACTGACCTCATTAAAAAATAAGTAATGCGAATATTATTTGGAAGTGCTTTTTATAAACAATGTTGTTGTGTTTTATTTATTGTGGGTGCACTGAATGAAATATGTTTGCTGAGGTTAGTAGTGAAGCAGGAATTTGTTTGTTTTTTTAATTACTAAAGATTATCATATCTTTGTTTTCAACATAGTTAAGTCATATTGATCAAATATCGTCGTTATTTTTACATATTGGAGCTATTGAATGCATCTAATATTAGCCAGATTCGCGAACGCATTAGCACAACGAGATGAAATTAACAATATGAATAGCAAACCAGTTGAAGTAACGTGGTAGTTATGATTATGAGGAATATTGAACGTTCAGAATATGGTTCGAAAATACAGAGTGGTAAGGATTGTATGAAAAAGTTCTGGAATTCAGCATCTAGAGTATGCTAAATGAATTCATCTAGGCCAATGTGAATGATTCTGAGCCTTATAACCCGAAGTCTCCGACCACGAATCATGGTTATTTTGCGGACCCCAGTCAAGTAATGAAGACCTATAAACCCAGCTCAAACCAAACAGTAATTAACTGTATGAACCGATGCTATATTTTGGTTTAGCCATCCCAAGCTTTCTTCCGATCTAGTTCTACACCAGACAATATCGCCTATTGAGGTAGTTGGTGGATGGTTGTACGTGATACATGTTCCAACATGTTCTGACTCCGCATTCTGACTCAGAGTTCTTAACTCGATAGACCAAAAATATACGAGCGATGCTTAGGGAACATGTGTAACCGTCTAACACTTACACATGTTACCTCCAATGGAACACAGGTCGGCAACCAGTATTCTCCAACCTACACTGTCCTGGGCCTCCGTTTCCAGTTATGCCCAATTTATGTTTATTGTTCTCATGTCTGTCTCCATTTCTCGGCGTAATATGTTCCTTGGCCTTCCTATTTTCCTTTGGCCTTGAGGGTTCCAACTGAGGGCTCATCTTGTGACACAGTTGGCTGCTTTCCGCGATGCGTGTCCTATCCTTTTCTACCGCTTCTTCCTGATTTCCTACTCCACTGGAATCTGGTTTTTTCTTTCCCACAGTAGGTTGTTACTGATGGTGTCTGGCCAATAGATCCTCAATATTTTGCATAGACAACTAATAATAAATACTTGTATCTTGTGGATGATGGCTTTTGTAGTTCTCCGAGTTTCCACTCCATACAGTAGAACTGTCTTGACATTTGTATTGAAAATTCTGATTTTGGTGTTGATTGACAGTTGTTTTGAGTCCCAGATGTTGTTCAATTGTAGAAATGCTGTCCTTGCTTTCCCGACCCGCGCCTTCACATCTGCATCGGATCCACCTTACTCGTCAATGATGCTGCCCAGATATGTAGAGGTATTTACCTCCTCCGAGGCATCTACATCAAGAGTGTTGTATCTGAGAATGTTGCTTTTCTCTTCACTTATTTTGAGACCTGCTGCTGAGGCTACTGCCACACTGATCTTCTCTTACATTTATTATTTATAGATCATCTTCGTAGTCCAAAACATCCAGCTGTATCATGTCCCCACTGTATACCGTACTTGCCTCCAAATGTTGATATCTTCATAATCCAGTCGATGACCAGGAGAAAGAGAAAGGGTGAGAGTAAGCAACCTTAACTGGCACCGCTCTTCACTTCGGACAAGTCTGTCAGATATCTTCCGTGCACGATTTTGCAGTTTAATCCATCATCAGAGTTCCGTATGCTGTTGACTACCTTGTAAGGCACTTCATTCTGTCAAAGTAGCCTCCATAATGTGATCCTGTCCACGCTGTCGAATGCTTTCTCGTAGTCAATGAAGTTTATGTAGAGTGGTGAATCCCATTCAATTGATTGTTCCACAATGATCTGTAATGTCGCATTTTGGTTGGCACATGATCGATTCTGACGAAATCCAGCCTGTTGATCTCGAAGTTGGGCGTCTACGAAGTCCTTCATTCTGTTTAACAACACCCTGTTGAAAACTTTGCCTTGTATTGAGGCAAGAGTGATGCGTCTGTAGTTCTCAAACTTGTTGGTGGGCCAAAATCGACTGGGAGGTGCGTGGATGCTGCTTCGATGTCTAGTGGGTTCAGTGTACCTGGTCGATTCAAGAGTCCCTAAGGTGCTCTGCCCACCTGTTTCGCTGATTACTTAACCTTCCTTGCTTTTCACTGGTCGTTCTGGTTTACGATAGTATCCAACGAGATTTTTTGTTGTGTTGTACATTTTTCTCATGTTTCCTTCTCTTTCAGCCTTTTCCGCCGTCATTGTTAGATCTCCCACATATTTTCATTTGTCGTCTCTGATGCTCCTCTCCACTTGCATGTTTGCTTCTGTTTATTCAGCTTATGCCTTAACTTCCTCTGCTCTTGTTCGGCTGATGTTGATTGAATAATTCTTGTTCCTCCTTTCTTGAATCTAATCCATAGTATCCACTGAGATGAGCATCTGTCAACGATTGACTGCAGCCTTATGTAGAATCGATCGTTAACGTCTTCATTGAAGTCGTGGTTAGGTGCATAGCATTGGATGACGTTCATTGTAATGTCCTCTCTCTTTATTTTGTGGGATGCTCTGATGATCCTGGTTCCATGAGCTTCCCATCGCTTCAGTGTCATTTGGGGTTCTTTGGACAGCGTTATTGCAACTTCTTGTGTATGTGAAGCATTTTCCTCTTTATGACCAGAGTATAAAAGTAGCTCTCCTGAGGCTAGCCTGAGTTGTTCAGCTTGCGTCCAATGCGTTACGCTGATTCCAAGCACCTCCAAGTTGTATCTTTTCATTTCCTCAGCAACTTCAGTAGTCTTCCAGTCTGCCACAATGTTCGAACGTTCCATGTACCTAAAAGAATGGTTGCTCTGGTTGTCAGAAGAGGCATCGGCCGCGTGACTTCCGAGGGAACTCAGCTTTCATCATGAGACGTCATAACTCTTCTGAATGAAGACCTTATAACTCCCAGGCAGTGTTTCAGTGGTTTGAATTATGTTATTTTGGTCAGTGATTTTTTAGCGCGTTAGTTTTTTACGGGATTGGATCGCCAACCTCTTGCACAACCCTCCTCTTTTATCCGAGCTTTGGACCGGCAGTAGACCCGTAGGGTCTACAGCCGGAGTTAACCAAATATTACTAACTTAAAAATATCTAGTTTTGAAGGTCATGTCTCACACTAACATTAAGCATAAGGTAAAACATCTTTTGACCTTGAGACCCCCAAAGCCGACCCGACGATGGAACCAACAAGATCACATCGCTATCACCCATCGGTGGAAAGGCTTTATTGAAGACTGGTGCTCATCCTGGAACTCTTGTTTAGATTCAAACCATGCTCTAGCGAGTGAGTATTTGCTTGCGACTTACTGTACTTATGAAAGACGCTGCAAGAAAACCTTTTAGGGTTCTACTTAATGATAGCATAGCTAAGAATATATTTCAAGAAAAACGGTTAGGTGGCCATGTAGTAAGTGTTGCCCAACCTGAAACAGCTTGGCATGATATGAAAATAGCTGTGGAAGCAGCAGTGATTTCTTCTAGTAAGGTAAACCATAATATCAGGGAGACGCAGTGGATATTAGTAAGATTAGTAGCATGTATGTTGCGTCTCCAAAATGCGCATACAAGATCCAAGTAAAATCATCCATTTGATATCAGCAAGTGCAGATAGAAACACAACATGGTTTACAATCCACAGGGCAATCAGTCTAACTAATATAGTTTCTAAATTGTTAGTCTCGATTATCCTTAGACGCCTAACTAGGGCTCGTGAAGAGCAGACCAGGGAAAACCAGGCTGCTTCCAGACCTGGACGTGGCTGTATAGACCACGTTTTCACACTACGATAGGTTCTGGAACATAGACACGCATACAAGCGACCGACAATAGTTGTCTTCCTGGCGGCACTTAACTCTGTGGATCGTGAGGTGACAGTGTCTATCATTAAAAGGTGTACCGAAGAGTTACATTAACCTTATACTGGCTCTCTACTCGAACACTACTGGTTGAGTGAGAGCTTATGGCGAACTGTCATCAGATTTCTTTACTTCAAGTGGTGCATGTCAGGGATGTCCACTTTCGCCATTTTTGTTTAGTTTCGTCATAGACATGCTCCTAGATATGACATTGTTTTCGTCTGAATTTTCAGGAGTGGACCTTCTATCAGGAAAATCGCTTGTTGACTTAGAATATGCCGATGACATAGTTCTACTTGGTGAAGACGCTGACAAAATGCATTGTCTTCTGACTACTCTAAGCAACAACGTGAGCATGTTCAGGATTCAGTTTCATTTCAATGAATTATACTTCTTGAATAATATCATCGAACCCTAATCTTCTCCATTACCGCTAATACTTCTACTACCTCTATTACTATGGGGTCTGAATTGACAATTGCATCTTTGTGCTAATGTGGTATGGCAACATGAACTGATGTATGTACGTACGTACGAAGTTCTACGTTTTTGTTGATGGATTGATTAAACTGAGATATTAAATACACTTGGAGTTTGATATAATCATATTTGACTGGTTGCGATAACCGATAATTTCAGTTTGGGACAGGAATGCCCTTATGACAGCTACAGAAGAATCAGCCTGATCAATGTAGCGTCCGAAATCTTAGTGTCATTGATAATCAGACGCTTGAGTAGGGCTTATGAGGAGTAAACTCAGATAGTTTCCAGACCTTGATGTAGATATATAAACCAAAAATTAAATTGTCATCAAGTTCTGTAGCATAAGTATATTTATCAACTCCCAAACATAGTTATATTTATTGATCTTAAGGTAGCGTTTGATTCAGCTTGTAGTGCCTCCACATATACTCCAGTTCGCTTACATCTAACTTGGTTAAGCCCTTTCGATTAATTCATTTAACCATATATATATTATATTCATTT